TCAACATGCAGACTAGAGGAGCTGGATGACTTGCTCCTCCTCCTGAGCCACAGCCACTGTTGCGCTTCCATAAAGCTGGAGAAAATCATGACAACAGAGACTCTGACATCTTGATTTTTAGTTCCAATTGTGGGTCAAACACCTACAACACTGCATCCTACAATTCCCATCATGCAACGTAACAGGTTCTTTCACAAAGCCCCTCCGTCTATCATCCTTGTGATGACTAAATGTGGAAAATCTGAAACATTGCAAGTATCACAAGATTTTTAGAGTCAGTTTTTACAGTTTTTAGTTCTTAGTTTCTGATATTTATTTTGTCAGACATGCTTGTTCTCATTTTTATAATGGTTGGTGGGCTGTAAAAACACGATGGACAAAGATTTAAATACATCCCAAGACTTGGTTTTATCCTTGTCGCCCTGATAAAGCCTGATATGATGTATTTTGTTGTGTTAAAAACAAACAAGATCACAAAAAATGAACATATCACCATTGGTGCTTCTCGAATGGCACAAGAATGATTTAGCTGTGAGAAATGTGCCTTTGTTCTATTTTTAAATCTGTTTAAAATTCATGAAGTTGTCTTTTTCTAACATCTACTCCTCCTCCTTCTCCATCACAGGAGCTCGTGGATGACCTGTATAATTTCAGAGATTGCTATTTCGAGACTCACAGTGTGGAGGAAGCCGGGAGAAAACAAAGCGATGTCGCGCAGGAGATCGAAAAGACACTCAAGAAGCTGGAAGAGAAAGAAGGTGAGCGCTACGTTCACACATCAGCGCTACAGTTTTTAATATACAGAATATAATCGACACTTACTGTATCTCTGCGATTACAATATCCCGCAGATCTCTTCAGACACAAAGCAGAGTTTCTGCTGCAGAAGGGCAGGTGTCTCAACGTGGCTCCGGACTTCAGTGCCGTAGCAGAAGAGTGCCTTTCACGCGCCGTGAAGCTGGAGCCCGGCCTGGTGGAGGGCTGGAACACGCTGGGGGAGCAGTACTGGAAAAAAGGAGACCTGACTGGTGCCAAGAACTGCTTCACTGGAGCCTTGCAACAGGTACAGTAAGGACAGAGAGAGAGGGAGATGTTGTTAACTCAGGGAAGCACGCTAAGTTTCACGTATAAACTCACCTTGTCCTGTGCCTCATCTTCCACCTCTGTAGAGCAAGAACAAAGTGTCTCTACGCAACCTGTCCATGGTGCTGAGACAGCTGCCGACAGCGGACAGCAACGCACAAGGCAAGCAGGTGCTGGAGAGTGTGGACATGGCCCGGCAAGCTATCCAGCTGGACGTTGCAGACGGAACGTCCTGGTGTGAGTAGGGCGTCTGGGTACTTAAAGAGCAGAGAAGAAGAGTTAGAGGAAATTATGTGCAATTCTAAAATTGTATTTTCTGTTTTGTTTTTACAGATATCCTGGGAAATGCCTATGTATCCCTGTTTTTCAGCTGTGGACAGAATCCACAGTTGTCTCAACAAGCTCTAAGTGCCTACGCACAGTCTGTGAGTCCTGAGCTTTGAGCATGTTCATTCTGATCTATCCACACGACCTTCACTAATGTTTCACCCCTCTTTTTTTACATTTGTAGGAGAAAGTGGACAGGACCGCCTCTTGTTACCCGGAGCTGCATTTCAACCGAGCCACTCTGTTCCAGTATGAGGAGATGTACGGGTCTGCGCTGGGCGGCTACAGCCGAGCCGCGGCGCTCGACCCCGGTTGGGAGGAGCCTCCGGAGAGAGAGAAGCAGCTGTTGGAGTATCTGGGGAAAGTCAAAGAACTCATAGAGAACAAGGTAGGGAGGAAAATGGCAAACACAAGTTCCTAGAGCTGCAGGTGACGACTTTAAATGTCTTGTTTTGTCAGATCAGCAGTTCAAAACCTAAAGATATTTAAGCTACGTTCACACTGTACAATGAAATGAAAGAAGCTGAAGGACATTACATTATTAGGAAAAATAAATATATGCCATATTTACACCATAACTTGTTTAACTGAGAGAAAGATGTCCTCAGAAGTGTCTGTCAGCTTTGAGTCTGTTGGCTTACATTGACACATTGTGATCAAGCTGACAAAAAGATTTCATTTTCACCACAAGGTGGCAGCAAAGCACATCCATATCTCCTGTTTTGCTCCTAACCTTCAGTCTCTCCATCTCCTCAGGGGAAGGTGAAGGCGCGCCGATTGAGGACGATGCTCTCTAACCTCAGCACGTCATCCTTGGGTCCCTGCTCCTCCCCTCAGTTCCGTTCCCCGACAGGCCGCGTCGGCAGCCTGGAGCCTCGAACTCTGTCCTCCCTCACACACGGTCACAACGCCGGGGTGGCCGCCCTGGGAAAGGTGGTGTTCAGCCTGGCCTCTGAGGGTCGCATGGCCTTGTGAGTACAGCATAAAATCTCACGTGTCCACTCGCTGCTTCCTTCAGTACTGGCAAGTTCTGCACTCTCGTAGCGATGCTGTAAAATCTTGCTCTCTTCTTCCTCCAGCACGTTTGGCATGGTGGACAGCGAGGAGACGTGTATAGTGGTGATGGTGTACAACACAGCGGACAGCTGGGGCGTCTTGATAGGAGACACTGTAGTCATTCCCGAGCCTCAGGTCAAACGAAATAGTATAACGCATAAAGATCAGGTCAGTGTTTGTTCATGTGTGCAGTTCGAAATGTACAAAATAATGTCTCTCTACATGGTCTGACTGACGTTTCCTCTCTCTGGCAGTCGTTTGACTTCAGAAGTATACGAGTAGACTCTCCTCTGCTCCTCATCGTCAACGGCAAGAAACAAAACATCCAAAGTCAGATTGCTGTCTCAGTCAGCTACAAGCCGCAGAGCGAATGAGCTGAACAAGCGAGAGGAAGTGCAGCAACAGGACCAAGTCTTTCTGGGTTTTTAAGAAGCGTTTGAAAATATGGACGTGTGATGTTTCCAAAGTTTGTGCCTGTTTTACAATTTGTTTTGTACATAGAGGTCACCTTGTTACTTTGTCTTTAGATAGACTCTTTGTTTATATTTATAAATAATTCTTTTTTTGTATTCTGTTGTTGCAGAGACAACACGGACCTCTTTTTTTGTAAATGAACGAACTTGTGATGACAACAATGTGATGTCAGAATTGTGACTTAAGTTTACCCCGAAATATAAAATCCTTTCATCCTAAACGCTGTTTGAGTGGTGTCTAAAAACAGTAGATCGCAAAGTAGGGTCACAGGGCCACCACGTGTCCCCAAAACTGTTGTTTGAAATGCATGAAAAAAATCCACACATTGTTATTTGGCTCCTGTTATTATAAATGCAACATTTCGGTCAGGTAGACGTCATCAGTCATTAACGAGGCTACTTTTCCACTCTTTACTTTGGTGGCAGAAATAGTCTGGTGTAACTTTAAAGTGTTTCATGTGACATATTTGTCATCATCAAACTAAATAGTAAAAAATACTCCATACTAAGGTCACATATAGCCCAGTGATACCTACACGTAATTTAAGTTTCGGCCGACAATGAATTTTCGGATAGTATTTTCAGTGTTTCTACATTTTCCGTTATACGAGTATCGTTTACGTCCCACGCCACTGACATTTTACTGTCTCGCAGTCAAAGACACTTCGGTATCTCAATTTCTATGAAGTAGCCTGCTTCTTAATTCCCGCTCGTAATTACACACCTGCCTCTTTCACTTGAACGTGCTCGAGACTGGATAGGAAAACCCAGAGCTGACTGAACTAGTTGATAACCAGCTTTGTAGTACCGGTTATCCAGACGGCCAATGTTAGTGAGTGGTTAGTCAAGCCAGATAACGAAAAGATATCCTGGGTAAGTTGAATTGGCTTTGAAGTACAGGCCTCTGTCCACCATGTTGGAAACAGTCAAGCCAGAAATGAAGCACCGCCCACCGGCCAGACCAAACATTCTCACTTTACAGCTAAACAGTACACTAAAATACATTAATGAGAACATTTGGGGTGAGAAATAGGCAATGCAGTGACAGAATCTTAATTCATATTTGATCAGCACTGCTAGTTTGACACAAGCAGTAGCCCTTTTTAAATAGGAATTGGTGAGAATTTGCAGTCTTCTTTCAGCATTGGCAGTATAGAAACAAAATCGGGGAGTGCGGCAAAATGCCACCTGCCTACTTTTGTTTATACAGAATGCGCCTTTTGGGGCAATGGGGGGTGTGAGCAAGTAACAAAACGTATAGCTCAGCGTGTGACATAAACAGTGACGTGGGAGGGAAGCCACAGCTGGTCAGTCCTTCAGCGATTCTCTCGTAAGTCGGCCCGTTCTTCACCATCCCCGTCATTTGATGGTTAATGACCTCTTCGTTTGTGAGGACAAGGAGGGCGCGCAATTCCTTGTCTCCCCAGTTGCTCATCTTTACAGTGTGTCAGGTTTGCGTTTCCCTCTCGCTACTAGCTGCTCATTCCTGCTATCAGCTGTTTCCTGTTTATCCACCGCCAGTGGCTCGCACGTGTGCCGTCATCAACAGCTCCTCCCACAAGTCATCAACAGCCCCTCCTGAAGTGGAAGGGCGCCTCGTTCTTTTTAAACCAAAAAGGTTCCGCCAATATGTCTACCCTACGAGGCGGAAAATTGGGCACCTTGGATCAACTCGCCAATCCAGCTCTGTGTGTCTAAACGCTCGCAGCTTGCCAGCAAAACGGCCCAATATTCACCGAAAATCTGGCAGTGTAAAAGGGGCTAGCGATCGACAGCTGCGTTAAAGACGCCTCGGCTCTCATTAGTTGTTTTTGGTGTGCTGCGGTAGATACTGGCAAACGCCATCAGAGGCAGTAGGAAAAGGAGGGACGTGTGTTTTTCACAGACTATCTGTCTCATACTTCTTTCAGGAAATATGACAGTTATTTTCATAAGTTACCAACTGTAGCTGTATTTTAATTCCTTAAACATGTTTGTCTTTGACGAGATGCTTTTACTATAAATTAATTTAAATCCGACACAATCTACATGAACAGAAGACTGTGAAGCAATGCTCTTTGGAAACAGAGTTTATACTGTATTTACATTGTCTTTTCAAGTACTTCGAGAAACCAGCACTAAAATATAACAACTGGATTTCGCTCCTAGTTTGACTCCAATATTTGTTACTATTGGACAAAAAGTTAATATTATATTAATACACTCAGGGTGAACACCACCAACTATATAAATACTAAAACATCAGAACACTGTTAACATATATAAACGTAGTGCTACAGTCGCTATGAAACCTGTTGCCGTCTCAGTGCTTCTTGATGAAGGGCCGGCCTCTTTCCCTGGCAGGGGAGCTGAACTGGAAGAAGGTCTTGGCTCCGTCAGGCTCCAGGCAGGAGAAGAACCTGCTGTCCCCGTCAGGGCCCAGGGAGAGGAACTGAGGGCTCCTCTGGGGAGTCGCCTGCCGAGCTGCCCCTGGGGGTTGACGGATGTCTCTCATTGTTACACTGAGTGAAATTCCCTTACATAGACAATCAGCTCATTACTCCTACTGTTCTCTCTTAATGACTCTTGACAGAACACCTACAGCTTTGTCTCCCTTTGTGCCACTTAGCATGATTCTCTCTCTGCTTCCTTCCTTTTCTCATTAATCAGTGCGACGTGACAAAGCGTTAAAGTTGATTCCTTTTGCTGCCAAATATTTTGTTTTGGACTTTCATTATCGATTAATCTGTGGTCTAATTAATAGACCAATTTGTTCTATAAAATATCAGAAGAACAAAGAACTCCACCGTCTACACCTCCAACTGTGACAGATTTATTGCAAGTATTTCAGTACAGTAGTGGTTCTTAATCTTTTTCTGTCATGCCAAAAAAAGTTAATGCCTCCAACCCCACAATGTTTTATCAACCATTAACAATATTCGGGGAAGCAACTGATAAAAAAGGACCAATAATGAATTTTATTGGAGTAAACAGCATGATAACATCAGCAAACTCTTCTTTAATTTCCCTACATAATCATATTTGTTTAACTTCGTTTCACTCCATATTTTTCCCCTGGCTCTGTGCCCCCCCGAGACCTTCATCGATTTATTTTTTCGACCAAATAATAACCTGATGAAGGTCTCTGTACTAAGACGTTCCCTATAAATCTCACATTGCAAGTGTAGTAGGAGTTTATTTGTTCTTCTACAGCAGGCCCAAGGTCTTCTCCAACCTACCTGTCGACCTACAAGTGTGCAAATATTTCGCTTATATGCTTCCAATTCACAAGTTTCCACAGAGCAAATTTTCAACACTTTAGTATATATGTAAAGGCAGAACCTGTGTCGTGATCATTCATAAACTCCTACACTCTCATCCATTTCTCTCATTGTAAAATATAAATTAATGTTCTGTACAAAAAGACCAAGCATCTGTTATTTAAACAGTGTACCTTTAAACTTTAACTTTAATCCAAGTTCAAATTGCTCTTACCGGTGTTGTAGCCTTGATGTCCCGGTTGTGTCTGCGTATCTCTTTCCCCGACATCCACCACCATGTTGCGCAGCCTCAGAGAGTCGTACAGCCCCTGTAGTTTCTGGTACTGCCTGTTCCTCTCCATCAGCCTCTCAGACACCTCAGTGTACTTCCTTTTATACTCCTCCATCACCTGGAGGAAACAAGATTGTACACACCAAACGGATTTCACGATTAGGAACACGTAAATATTTACTACATTAAGTACATGAAGTTTACGGCTCCTATTTTTATGTCTTCATCATCTATGGTCAAAAAAGAGATAACGATAGTGACCATGAAGCCACTCCTCTGTCGCTTCCCCACATCAGGCCCTTTGTACTGAGGGGAGGCTTGGCTATTTTTCACCCACGACGGCCTTGTCAAATCATAGAGGTGCTTATTTCAAGCGTTACATTCTGAATCTGCACCTGAGTTCAAGAACAGTGGCTTACTTTCTTCAGGGAGGCGATTTCCCCCCTCATGCCACTGAGCTCCACTTCTCTGCTCTGGTTCTGCTGGGTCAGCACCTTCTCCATCTGCTTCAGCTGTGTCTCGGCCCGTGACAGACTGTACTCTTGAAACATATGCTCCTGATGGACCTGTTTACAAGGAGACTGATGAGTTGGGTGTTTTAGAGGTAAAGAGAAGACAAACTGACACAGATATTCCAAGGCTTGCAGATTCAGAGCTACACTATGTTCATATACATACAAACAGAAAGATAAGTGACCTGATAGCTCCAGAAGGCCAAAGCGCGGGCGCTGATGTCCAGAACTACGTCTGGTCGCAGACCTGCCAGCACCATGGCTTTGTATTCCTCAGAGGGCGACAGCTCCGTCCTCACGATGTCCAGCTTCCCAGACAGCGCAGAGGAGCAGGCCGGGCAGATTGCAGGAGAGCGGCTGAACTCACCTGACCCATGCTGATCACAGAAAACGTGTGAGCAAGCCGTGACCCAGGCGAAGCCGCTCAGCTTGGTCCGACACTTTGGGAAGTTGCATAGGAGTGTGTCGTCACAGAGAGACATGGCCACAGCTGTGGAGAGCGCAGGAACATTTTAGTAATGGAGATCAACACAATAGACAAGTTGAAGGTTTGATAAAACAATTACATATATTTAGAGTTTGAAAGATCTCAACCATATCAAGGTAAAGCAAATAAAATATCCACTTGGGAGACATTTATAAATTATGATCTTCAAATTCTAGGAGGTTTTAATTTATTTCAAGGTCCTATTTGGTGATATTTAGGAACTTAAAATCACCATATTTTCTTGTATGTGTGTGTATTGACTGAATTTTCCTATTTCATGCATTATTAGTTTTCCTTTCCCATCATTTTTTGAGTAAGGCAATATGTAGACTCCTGATGTTATGAAAGCAACAAGTAAACACAAAATGTTACAGGGCTAACTCTGCCTTTAAGTCCTCATCAATGACCTAAAACTTTACTTTTAATTTTCATTTTGACTTCTTATCTATTTCAAATGATCAGTAAGATAATATACTAGATAAGGAAACACTAAACACCCCAAATATCACAACTTACGGCTGTATGAAGAGCTATATAGCTTAGCTAAGGTTAGGGTACACAGCTAGCTTAACTGCCATTAGCATTAGCATGTTAGCAGGTAAAGTGACGAGCTCTCGGGCTAAATGTTATATCCACTTCATATTCAACTGCTCAGTTTAAAAAGCACAACTTTGACTTTTAAAACTAATTGGTGTTGAACAAACGGACACTTTACCGGAATATTTACGGTTAATTTCGGGAAATACAAACCTGTTACCGGTTAGCTAGCGCTTCACTCTGCAGGTGACGACAGGTGACGCGTAATTAATACTGTAATCTGATTGGCTGATTGCAACTCAACGTCTTAACGGTAAAATCTGAAAACAGTAATTTCATATATTTAAAAATGAAACTACATTAAGTCTAAAAATGCTGAATTTGAAACAAAGACAGAAAATACAGTTGTTCCTTTAGCTTTATTTAAGTTGTATAGTAATGAGCTCTCGGGATAAAGTTATGTGTGCTTTCTGTTCAAACTTTGACTTTTAAAACTATATTTTCTGTTAAACTTTGACAGAAAACTTAACATAATGGAATATTTACGATTAATTTTGTGAGATACCAACTTCTTTTTATGTTTAACCTTTATTAACTTCTGGCCCTTACATCGTCAAACTGATAATTAAGTACAATCAGTGCAAATTACATAGGCTAGCATGGACAATAAACAAAAAATAATTTAATAAAATATAACATAAATAAAAGGACCAGAGCTCTGAACAGAAAACAATATATAGGCTAAATGTAATTGTAAATATTCTGTAAATAGGGGAGATAGCTGTAGGCCGACTCTTCACTCTACAGGTGACGCTTTATGAATACTGTAATCTGATTGGCTGATTGCAACTTAAAGTGTCAACATCTGAAAACGTTAATTCAACATTGTAAAAATGAACCTACAGTAAGTCTAAAAATGCTGATTTTTTTGAAATATTTAGGGAAAGACAGAAAATTTAGTTTTCTTTCTTTGACAGAAAACATAACGTAACAGAATATTTACGATTAATTTTGGAAGGTACCAACTTTTTTCCCATTTTTAAACTTTATTAACTTCTGGCCATGACATCATCAAGCTGATAATAAAGTACAACCAGTACAAATGACAGATTTAATAGAGAACGAACATGGAAAATAAGCAAAAGGGTCTGAGGTGTAATCAGAAAACAATATATGAATGTTTTCCTAAATATGACGTAAAAAAAGGGCAAGCCTACTCTTCACTCTGTGACGCGAGATAAATACTTATAGTATAACTTATATTATGTCTAAAAATTCAGAATTTTAGACATGTTTAGGACAAAGACAGAAAATATTGCTTTTCCTTTAGCTTTATTTAAGTTTTATGTGTAAAGTGATGAGCTCTCAGGGTAAACTTACGTCTGCTTTCTGTTCAAACTTTGACTTTTAAAACTATATTTTCTGCTAAACTTTGACGGAAACTTAGCGTAATGGAATATTTACGATTATTTCGGGAGATAACGAATTTTATTTTTCTCCATTTTTATTCTTTATTAACATCTGGCCATGTCAAATGGCTGAGCAATAAATAAATACAATTAAAATGAAATATAATATAGGCTAGAATTAATAAAAGGGTCAGAAGTCTAATCGCTAAACAATATATGGATGTTTCTGTAATCTGATTGGCTGCTCGGGTCTCAAGTCTCAAGGGGAAGATCTGAAAAACATTAAATTCAGATATTTTAAAATTAACTTGTAGTTTGTCTAAAAATGCTGAATATCAAACATGTTTAGGACAAAGACAAATTTTGAATTTAACTTTATAGGCTATTTGTATAATGTGATATTGCAGCTTAAATAAGTTAGACTCTGGGAACTTATTCCGCCACTGAATATGACTTAATGCAACCTGAACTTTGGCATTACATCACCATTACATTACATTTTGTTTATTCTCCAGGTGCTGATTAAGCTAAAGAAAGTCAGATATTTTAAAGAGCAGCCCAAACTGTAACCCTTCAGATAAACATGGCAGTTATTTCCCAAAAACCAAATAATGCCCTGTTTTCTTACACAGCCTCTGAGTAGATATATGTATAATACCAGACACCTACTTAAATATGGCCCCCCCTCCTCCTCCTTCTCCTCCACCTCCTCCCACTTTTTTTTCTCCTCTGTCTCTTTTATCCATTTCTCCACGTGGTACAGGAGTAAAGGCGGGGGGTGAAAGAGGGGCATTGTGCTGTGCAGCAGTGGATCCGGGGGTTCATAGTGAGAGAGGGGAGATGCTCACTCAACTGTGTCCAGCGCGCCATTGTCAAAGATTCCCATCTATTCTCTGCCTTTTAAATAGAGCTCCAGTGTAAGATGCTTTTTTGGGGGGTGGAAGGGGGGGTATTATACGCTTGGTGATAACACACGAAATACATGCATGTGGAATGGCTGTGTGGCCCCACTTGCACACAACTCACTGCACTGTTGCTGATAATTGGCTCTATGGAAATCAAAGGGTAGAAATATCGCCTGAGCTCCTCATGTGGCGCATTAACACCACTGGGAAGACGGATTTTTGACTCTTGCTGATGGAAACCACCTGCATGATAATTATTACTATTATTATTATTTCATTATGTGCCCACCTTGCAGAGAATAAGTACACCTGGGGGTGCTGAACAGATGATGGATGAGTCACCTGTTACACCTCTTTTAGACGTGTTAATCTGGCCTATAATGATTTTACTGTCTTCCATGAATGATTTAATTTTTTTTAAGGAATTAAATTGTTCAAGCGCGCATTTAAATGTGCTTTTAAGCCATCCAACTGCTTTGACACCTAATTGTCATGTTTTATTGAAAGTTTATAGCTGCTGCGTGAGTGTGTAAAGAAAAATAAAGCTGGGGAGAAAGAGAAAGAGAGAACCAGGGAGGCTGTGTGTTACACGCCATTGAAATGCAAATATCATTGAAGAACAAGGAGTGGTTCTGTGTGTGTGAGTGTGTATGGCGTGTGTGTGTGTGTGTGTTTGCATGTGTGTGTGTGTGTGTTCCCTGTATGTGCATGCAGCGGGGCAGCAGTGAGAGAGGAGGGGCGCAAATTGGACAAGTTTTTTGGGGGAGAAGAGACTTTAGAAAACAGCCACACACACGCACTCACGGCAGCTTCATATGACGCGGCGCAGACCTGCGGATTTCCAAACACCTCTGCGCTATTTTTTTGACTCTCTTACATAAGAAGACGCTCCTTTTTACTTCTTTTTTAAATTCTCTTTTCGTCCCGATGTGCGGGATGTGCGCGACTTTTGAGCTTTAGTTGCTCGGATGGTTCCAGGAGCGCTTTCCAAGTGCGCAAAAACGTGCCTTCTGCCATTCAACCGACTGATGCCCCCCTCTCTGTCTGAGTCGCAGTGAATCATGTCACGCCGGAAGCAGAAGCGACCCCAGCATCTCGTTAACGCGGATCCGGGGGGCCCACGGCTGCTATCTCACGGTGAGTAAACATCTTTAAGAGCGTGCATGCGTTTTTGCCTTGAATTTCTTGAAAGAGTGCATCCATCCTGCAACTTAACAGCGCGCACCCCTGCATGCAAAATTCACTTTCAGAGTCCGGGACTCTTGAGAGAGCTGAAGCAAAGCAAAAGTTTGGGTTTCATGTATTTGTGCGCTAATTGTTGCGCGATTTCTCGTTGGTTTTAGTGATATTCACAAGTTTATGTATGCATGGCCGCATTCCAACAAACGCACCTGATTTCACAGACTTAAAAAAAAAGTGTAAGATCTAAGTTTGTCAACCCCTCCTGCTCAGCCATTCACTCTAATGGGCCCCACTAAATGGAAGCCTTAGGCACTTTGGTTGGGGCCAATAAACTTGTCCCTGTGAAATGAATAGAGTGGGATTAACTAACATACATCTGTGGCCATTTTCATGTGCTGTTCGTCCTCCAGGAAACCAACAGGCTGCTCAGCGCTGACTGCTGGAGGTCTTTGATTAGTATAGAGCACTCTCTTATTTGTTAACAATAAGGTGCAATGGGTGGGGGGAAGGGAAGGCAGTGTTTTTGGTAAAGATTAATCTTCCACCCTTCTATTCTCCTCTTCTTTTGCTCTTCGTCCATGCCTTGCACCCCTCTTCCCCCATTTTCCACCTACAATACCTCCCTCCCCTTTCTTTCTCCCTCTTTTTCGCCCCCCAACCCTATTGACTGTATACTCCTACACAGTTGGGGGGGCTCAGATGGATGACAAAAAAAGATTCAGAGGGGATAGAGAGATTGTTCCTGCACTTGCTCTGTGTTGCAATGGGTTATATCTTCAAGTGCATGCACCTATGAGACTCCCAGCAGGTAAACTTCCAAAAAGAAAGTTCATCCTGGGAGTTTTTTGTGTGTTTCCTGCAGGTTCAGGTTTGTTTATAAGTCACATTGAAGGAATTTCACTGAGGTACAGTCTTTCATTCCATCACTATATCACTCCAGGAGGGAATAGTTAGTTTGTCTCTCCATTGTTGTTACCCTCCCCCCTTCTTTTTACTCTTTCTCACTCCGTGCTCAAGATTCTGAAAGAATTTGACCCCTGAGCAGCAGAGGTCAGATTAGTTGACCAATCAGAGTGTCTGGACAGTGCCCAGAACCCTTAGCGTGGCCTGACCCTTGACCTCCACTGTGACGTCAGGGGGGAAGGGTGAATGGGGAGATGAAAGACGTAACTGCTGTAGGGAGGGGGTGGGTTAAGAGGGGTTATGGGTTGTCTTGGTGATGCCCATTGTCCTCTAAAATGTGTTGCCATAGCAGCAAGGTGGTCTGTAAGCTTTTTTGTGTGTGCAAGATGTTTGAGGAGTTTTGCTTCGGAGAGCACAGATTGAGACAAGACATTACAAAGACTCATAGACTCGCTGAGTTTCTTCCATTTGTTTATTTGCTTGTTCAAGGCCACTTCCTAGCAGGCATTTCTTTTTGAAGTCGTAACAGGATCTTTTGGTATGCACACAAATTTGCTAACTAAATTTGTAAAGAATAACTGGAATCAATGAAATAAACAGGCACTGTAACTGGAGCGGAAAGTTTTAATTAATTTACATACCTGGATATTTGGGCTGATACTGGAGACTGGGTGTTGCATAATAATGTCCCTGCAAAGAAACAAAGTTCTCAAAAAGCTCTTTATCCTCTTTTTCAATCCTCAGATGATCACCTGGGCATGAAGTCACCATCCACATCTCTTGGCTCAGAAGTGACCTCATCAGGATCGTCCTCCTCATCCCCCACCTCTCTTCAAGACTGCCAGCCGCCTCTGGCCCCTCGCCCATCCCCTGGTGGGCTCCACGCGCCCTCCTTGCCCAGTGAGAGCTCACCTCCTCCCCACTGGCCCAGCCACATCGCCCCCTTCACCACATCCCTCCCAAACACCCACTCTTCCCTCTCCCCAGACTTCCCTCACCCCTCGCTGTCATCCCAAACTCACTCACCTCCTCCCTTGGGTCAAACCTCAGGTTCCCACAGCCTGTCCCACCAAGGAAACTCTCACTCCACCATGACCTCCCCCCCGATGGGCAGCTCAGCCACCACCACTACCTCCTCCTCCTCTTCCTCCTCCTCCTCTTCTCAGTGTGTGCCGCCTCACCGCGACAGCGCCAGTCCAGGTCATCAGCAGGCCTCAAGCTCTCCGGGGCAGCAGGGACAGATTCAGGTCTCGCCAACCCTGGCTGTGCTCCTGGAGGAGCTGAGGGTTTTACAGCAGAGGCAAATCCACCAGATGCAGATAACAGAGGAGATCTGTAGGCACGTTCTGAGGCTCGGAGGCGCTGTCTTTGGCCAAGATAGTAACAACACACAAGCCAGTGGTGCAGACAGCAACCAGAAGTCCACAGGAGCAGCATCTTCGTCACCAACACACCCCTCCACTGCCACGCCAGTAACCACAGCCTCATCGCTCTTGACTGGCCTCCCATCTTCCCTCTTCCCCCAGCCATCCGTCTCCAAGTCAGGTACTTCACATGTCAATGGCAGCAGAGCTTCATCCTCCTCTACCTCTTCTTCATTATCTTCCTCGTCTATTTCATCTACCATCAGCTCCTCTGCAGCCTCCCTACACCCTCTGTCCTTGTCATTGGGGCTACCGCCACGCTACCTCCACGAGAAATCATCCAACACTTCCTCGTTTGGTCATAGCAATGGTATCAGTTTCCCGACTCCTCCCCTTCCTACCACCAGTCATTCCCAGGATCTCCAGCCCAGCTCCTCCCTGGGCTCTGCCTCCTCTTCAGGACGCCCTCAACATGTGTGCCGTTTTTGTGGGAAGGTGTTAAGCAGCGACTCATCACTCCAGATCCACCTGAGGTCACATACAGGTGAAAGGCCCTACCAGTGTCCAGTCTGCTTGAGCCGTTTTACAACCAGAGGGAACCTCAAAGCTCATTTCCTGCGACACAGAGAGCAGAACCCAGAGCTGTCCCTCTCCCTGCTGCCCCCAGCACTGTCAGAGCAAACACAGAGTGCTCCCGGTCCCATCCAGAGGAGGAGAAAACGGCGGGCTGATGATGACGAGCCATTTAATGCAGTGAAAGGAAGCATTCCCGGGATGGCAGACAACATGGCTTCTTTAGGATTCCTGTCTGGTGCATCTGCTCGGCCCTCGCCCTCCTCTCTACCTCTGCCCCCCTCAGTGGATATGGCGTTGCTGTCCACAGCCCATTCACTGCTACAGCTGAACAGAGCCTCGGCTGCAGCTGCTGCCAGCGCATCTACCACCGGACTGCCTTCCTCATCTTCGTCCTCGTCTTCCACCTCCACCATGGGCAGCCAGTTCAAAGGAGCAAAGCAGCAGCGATTTGATGAAAACACCCCCCCTCACTCCACCCTCCATACAACCTCCCCATATTCCCAGCTGGCCCACCTCCCCAAGATTCTCTTCCCTGGCGGTACCTCCCCTCATCACCTTGCACTTCTCCGGCCCCCGGGCCACCCATCGGCCTCCCACCTCACTTCACCTCATCAGCTACCCTTCCCCTTTCCACCTTTCCCCAAACCATCAACCTCCTCCCCCTCTTCATCCTCTCCCACCACCTCTATCCAGACCTCAGACACCTCCAAGCTGCAGCGCCTGGTACAGAAGCTTGAAAAGCAGCCACAAGGAGGTGCCTCTTCTTCGTCCACCTCCTCGCAATCACCTGCTGAAGCAAACGGGGACACACATGGCCATGACTTGTCCACCACCTCCAGTGCCTATCGCAGGGAAATGTTAGCTGCTCTCGGCCTGAGCCCAAGTGCCAATGCTGCTGGATTAGTGACCAGCCAGGGAGTCTCAGGTTCTAGCACTACAACAACAACGACTACCCCTTCTCTGCCTACAGTTCAGGCTGCAAATCAGTGTGGAGTGTGTCTGCGTGTCCTCAGCTGCCCCAGAGCTCTGCGTTTGCACCAGGCCACACATCTGGGAGAGCGCCCATTCCCTTGTAAGCTGTGTGGCCGTTCGTTCTCCACCAAGGGCAGCCTCAGGGCCCACCTGGCCACTCACCGCGCAAGACCAGCCAACTCCCGTGCCTTAAACTCCTGCCCATTGTGCCCACGCAAGTTCACCAATGCTGTGGTTCTTCAGCACCATATCCGCTTGCACCTAGGAGGGCAAATACCACCTGATGAAGATATACCTCCTGAAGATGTGGCGGAAACACAGGATGCTGTCTTCAATGACAATAACTCCCCATCTAAAGCCCAACAACTTCTCCCTCTGGCCTTAACAACAAGGTCCAAGTCTCCAGCTGAAGCTCTCAACTCAGGGTCGAAGAAATCCACAGCAGCTGATGCCACCTCTGTGAAGACGGAAGAATCGGAAGGCTCAACACCCAGTGTTAGCCCACCCCTGACCCGTAATCCCCCCTCAGTGGGAGTTGAGGACCCCCTGCATCTGGGAGACAACGCCCTAGCTGATGGTAGCCCCGCGAACGGCTCCATGTACTCTGAGGAGGAGACCCACACTGACCTGGGCAGCACCAGCCCATTCAAAGCACCCTTAGCTAGTTCTCATTCAGATGTAGTGAATAAAGACGCAGAGGCAGATGACACCCCTTTGTCTCTCTGTGTTTCAAAGCCTGGATTAGAAAATGATGCAGAGGTTAGTAATGATGAAGCCTGCTCCACAGAAAAGCCCACCACAAGTCCTGATCCTAGCCCCAAACCACCAGCTGCGAATCCCTCACCTGCACTCACCCCACCTGCCAGCCCAAAAGCTATTCCTGAAGCAGAAGAGGCCTGTGGCAGTCAACCACAGGAGGCACAGGAGAGAGATGCAGCCCAAAGCAAAGGCATTAGTGAGACCACCAGAGAGCCTTTACCAGTGTTGGATCCAGAGCCGGAGAAGGACGCTCCCATGGAGGGGGGTCATGGTGTGCAGGAAAAGCCCTCAGAGGACCCAGAGCCCCCTGTCCCAGCACCAGCACTGCACACCCAGCCTGCTCGTCCTGACAAACCCTACAGCTGCTCCCAGTGTGGAAAGGCATATGCCAGCCGTAGTGGACTTAAGGTAAGGATTGCAGATATTGTGGATTTGTTCTTGGGTCAAAAGTCAATGATTTTGATGTTGTACGTAGTTTTTATGTCAAGAGAAGATCTCAGCCCCCTTGTGTTTTGTCTCCCATCAATAGGGCCATATGAAAACTCACCCTGGAGTGTCAACCAACACCCCCTCCAAGGCTCAAACCAATGACACTGATATTGCAGAGGAACCCAGCTCACATTCAGCCAATAAGAACCCGGTACAGCAGGAGGAAAAGCAGGGATTGGCTCAATCCTCGGGAGAAGGTGACAGCACAGATCCTCTACCCATCAGTGTTGTTTCTAATGTGGCGGCCGAGCCTATGGACACTACTGCGTAGACAAGTTAGCATCCTTAAATGACAGTCTTTAAAAAGGGTCCTGACAAGGGAATGTATTTTTTTAATAGAATAAGATTTGTTTTCTAGAGTTATTAATTCTAATTCATGTTTACCTTTTGTATTAGGCAGATAGATCTAGTTTGTATTGTAGTAACATTGCAAGAGATTTGTGAATGTAGTATTTTAGCCATGTATTTTTGTATTTCAAAGACCACAGTGAGGCCTTATCTTACACACTTCACAGAATTGTCACAATGAGAATTAATTGTTTGCGCTTTTCTTTTGCTGACACCTATTTCAGCACATACTTTCTAAGCTGATTGGAATAAGAGGGACGGTCCAGCGTTTAACAAGATGAACTCCATACCAAAACAGGCCAAATTAGTAATGGCCAATGATTGTAAATATGAGCTGCGGTTACATTTATGCCTTTTTATTGTTACTTTCTTCTTTCCTTTGTTTTAATGCCATGCTGCTGAAAGCATGTTTAAGATGTGCTGAGTTGCACTGCGAGTTGCACTGTGTCCTGTGCTGCCGAAACATCTTCTTAAAGGCATACTTCACCATCACATAATCATTTGTATGTCATTTACTCACCCCCTGTTGCACTGAATTTCAGAGGAAAATGTTGTTTTTTCTGGAATGCAACCACAGTGAACAAAGAATCAAAAAATGGAGAAAATTCTTGATAAACTGAACTCATAGGGATCCAGGTTTAACAGCTGCAGAACTATATATAAACATCTGTTTACAAACTCTCACACAACTCGTGAGGTATAATCTAAGTCTTCACAAACATGCATTTTGACTAAAACCTTACTATTTAAACAGTCTCATGCGCAAATGAGATGTGGCTTAGGGACTGTCCCAATCTTCATGGACACATTACTTTATATACAGAGTGCATCAGAAATGAAACCCTAAAACCTGGAAATGATTTATCATTTTAGCACTCCAGGTTCTCTTGTCTTAGAGTCTTAGGGTTTTTTGTTAGATGCCTGAAATAAGGTCTGTGGGTAACACAAGCTTAAGAAATGTTCACGTTTTGTTTTATGACATAAAATGCGTCAGACAATACCCCACATGTGAATTTTGAAACTTTCATGTGTCTTAAAAAGGTGGTTTCTAACAAGTAGCTAAATGAGACTACAGAATGTCATCGCGCCGAACCGACTTGACAGCCTCGTTCAGGTGGCAACGTTATGTTGTGTCACTGTGGTGTAGTGTGTTTATAGCCGAACATCAGGTTTTTACTTTTAGGGATTGCATTAAAGCTTTTAAAAATCATTAAAGTGGTGTTCAATTGCGAGGAGTATCTTACTGAACAAAACGTGTAGCTATAATAAACATTTGTTAGCCAAAGAGCTTATTTTCTGCAATAGGCCTAATCCAAAATCCAATGGAAACCCCATTGACTTTTTTGACGAGGGAACCAGGCTGACACTAACTTTCATGTAATCATCGCTGGAGCACTCTATAGTCCCAGCTAAAGTTAGATAATGTTAGCAAAACTCTAGCTAACTAGCTAGCCTACGCAAAGCTACATCAAGAGGAGCAAGCCTCATTTCAGATCAGCATCAGCCAGATTTGCATCGTCCTTACTTCTGTGGTAACTTTAAAGAGATTTGGACAGATCCAGTGGTTGCTGACATAATTTTAAGATCAGATGAATTATCGTTAGCCAAATCAAAGCTAACGTTCCTTTCTTTTTATTACCACCATAAGGCTGCGTGCTGCCCCGAAGTAACTAGCGTACCTTTCTACAGTAAAGAGAGACAAACATTAGGTCTGCTCCAGGTCAGTAATAAATTCATAGAGTACTTTCAATGTTGACTGATAGTCTTGTCATCCTCTCGTCATTTTGCCTTGTTCATAAAAGATAATATCATGATCGTTTGCTTCTTAAGCAATAGCCTATTGCTTGAAGCCGAAAAACTATCTAATAAACAATGTGGCCCCCGGCTAAGCGGAATGGACACCGCCATGCTTTTTTGGTCAAGTTTGTTCAACGGGCGAGACTAAGATTTGGTCAGTTCATCAAGAATGTTAGACTTTTTTGGATTCTTCGTCCACATAGGAGGAATGCGAGAAAAACAAAGTTGTCTTCCCATTTTCAACATAACAAGCGGGGAGTAATTGATGTACAAATGATCATTTAGGGGGGTGAAGTATTTCTTTAAACAAACACATTAGCAATGGTGATAACCATGACGATAATGATGACGATGATTGTGTTGGATTATCCGTACTTCTGTGAACACTCCTTGTACTTACAAAATTTGCTAGCAGCAAATTATTCATACTGATGATTGTAAATGTTTTTTTTTCTTGTTGTCGACGCGATCTGAAGAGTCAAGGATGAGTCCGTTATAACTCCCCCTCCTTTATCTTTCCTTCTCCCCCTCTTCTTCCCGCTGCTCTCCTCTCTCAGAGCACTTGAGAGTTTTCTGCTCCTGCAGAAATAGTCTGCACTGCATTCCTGCTTTGCCCAGTTTTATATGCTCTGTAAACCCCTTTTTTTTGTAGCAATGACAAAATGTGTTCCCATGCCTCCCATGTGATGTATAAAAGATAAATAAAACAATGTGAAGAGGAGACCTGTTGTGGGTTTCTTGTATTTTTTTTTTGTCTGGGTCCAGTTTCAGCTTGCGTCTTTGTCAATTCATTTATCTGTTTAAGTATTCTGTTTGCATGACTCTTATTCCGTGTGCATGTTGGTCAGTTTTCGCTTGTTTGTTCCAGCTCTCGGTGTGTCTGGATCGGGGGGTCCTTTGTCTGGGGCGCTAGGCTAGCTGTCGCCTAATTCTGCCTTTTTTTGCCCCCAGTGTCTTTTAATATGTTTCAGTTCCCCACCACTGTGTGTGTGTGTGTGTGTGTGTGTGTATGTATGTGTGAAAAGGATAATCAGAGCCTGTATGAGTGTGATTGAGGGTGCAGCTGTAGAGGCCGCCACCTCCCTCCCTCCCCCCCGTGCCTCCCCCTCCACCCTCTCTGTGTCATACGCTCTTTCATACGCACTCTCTTTCATTTTCTCTTTCATTTCTCTCCCTCACTCTTTCTGCTCACCCCCGTCACCCTCTCACCCCTGTACTCCCCCCCCCTCCTCTATCCTCCCACCCCATGTAATGAGCTGACACACAGGAAGCTCTAATCCTCACACAATGCCACCCCTCTTCCCCCCAGAGTGACTGGGAGCGGGACAGGGGGCAACAGGGACCAACCTGGCCCAGCTGTCCCCAAAATGGCTGCCTTTAATCCCTCCAGTTTTTAGCCTACAGGGGCTCCTGAAACCATGACAACCGGTAACCAAGGAAAAGAATGCTCAGGGCAGGGAGCGGGACAAAAGGAGTGAAAGGAGCCATGTGTGAGAAGTTTGTCCACATGCGTTCGTGGGCGACAAGGGACGTGTCTCAATCAAAAAAAGAAAGAAGGATAAAGAAAAAGTCATTTTAATAGTTTTCAGTTGGAGAAGGAATCGGGGAGGTGGAGGGGAATACTAAAGTCCACAGGTGTGATGGAGATGGTTGCAGACTTGGATCACATGCAACACATTTATCACTCATCAATAAGCATTAATCAGCTCTCTGTGGACATCAATAACCTTCAGTAGGAAGGACAAAAGTTATTGGACGTGTTAAAGGCCTGTGATATGCATATTTAAACTATAATTAAAGAGGAATCAACACCCATTTGGAAGACAAAGACGTGTTTATTCCCACATTTGCCTTTGATTAAAGTGATTTCGGTAATTACAGCTGTCAGTCAACAAGACTGTGGCAGAGCGGTGCTGCTTATTAGACTTTTTGTGTTTGTTCCTAAAGCAAAACCAGTATAAACATTTAATAAATGGTATTAATGTGTAGCTGTTGGCAGTGTTTATTAACTACAACTCCTCCTGTGGGCACCCATAAGTGGAGGCTGTGTAAAAATAATAAATGAGACTATAGTGAAACTTAATTGTTGACAAATACTGTACATTGAAAACACCAAAAAGGTCCTTAAAGTCACATAAAACTACATTATAATATGCTATAAACCATTTATTAAATGTCTATACTGCTTGAAAATTCCAAATAGGGAACTTTATATTTAGTTTGGCTTTTAAAACATCATTTTTTGGTTGCTGTTTTTTTAATAAGTCTGTACAAGTATCTTTTTTTCTCCATTTACTTTCTGTACTACTTAAATTGTTTGATTTTATTTGCCTAAATCCTGCAATGTTTAAAGTCCTGGTTCATCCATGTAAAGTACTTGTAACTTTGCTTTGAAAAGTGCTTTATAAATACAGTTTATTACTATTAATTCTTGCTTTACGTACTATCTAAACTCTCCTTTTGTACATTTTAAGAGACACATAAATCAGAATAAAGCCCACTTGAGTGACACTGTGATTTAATTTCCTTCAGTATTTCTTAAATCCACAAGAGGGAGCTATGGTTTTTAGTTTGGTCACCCATCAAACCAGTGAAATCATTTGACAGCATTATAACAGGTATATTCACAAATACCCAGGGTAATAACAGACCGTTTGTCATCTTGGACAGACCAAATTGAATCTGCCTGCAAAAGGACAAATCAAAGAAACTTTCTAAGCTGCCTTTCTTCTTCTTCTTTTTCTTTTTCACTTCTGGTACACGTGTTTGTCCTCCACCGTAAAGTCAAAACTGCTGAATAAACTCAATGAATCAGCCTGCGGTAATAACATATTGTGGCTGTCCAGCAACATTGTCTGACCCAAATCATTTCCTGAACTGTGAATATGAATTACTGCCATAAAATAGGCCTAAAAGATGCAGGGCCTTTAACAAGGTCAGACTGAAGCACTCATTTGTGCACCAGTCAGTCCTAAAACTAAATGTGGAGCTTAATTTCAAATTAAATGCATGTTGATGGGTCTTGAATGTTTTCAAATGTGTGTATCTTTGTTTTCTGTTGAAATGTTTGTCCTTTTGATTCTGCAGATGGAGCTGCTGTGAGGCAAAAAACATTTCAGACTTGTTCTTTAAATGAAAGTATAATTATTATTTTACACTACTAGCATTATCATAATCATTATCCTCCACAGCAGTAATGGACATGAGATTGTCTCATTATTTTTGTTTAATTTATACCTAGTGGCAAAAGAAGAACTCAGAAAACAAAAGTAGCAACACCACAGTGTAGAAACACTCTGTTAGGGACTGTTCATTACTTATGGGGGGAGGGGTGGTGCAAAAAGAGAGAGGCATGTCAAATAATTTTTTAAGTGCTGGGGAGGGATTAATGTTTTTTGGGAGGGGCACAAAATTTTAAATTGCTGTATTTTGCATTTACTTTACTTAAGATTTTTTTTGTTTTTAAAAGTATACCTTCCAAACCCAGGTGGGTTTGGAAAGCATGATTTAAAAAAACAAAAAAACAAAAAAGCAACGTCAAAATTATACAATTTATCGTAGCCAGAAACTGTAACAAAATAAAAAATAAAAAATAAAAAATTAGCATTGGGTTTTCACATTTTGATAGTCCGTGAATACATTATGTGTGACCTAAGTTTCTGTCAAGAAAAAAAAGTAACCAAATCTGAATTTAAAATATATATTTCATCAAAGTCACATTATTCTGTCTCATTTAAAATTCCGCCAAAAATAAGCAGTTTGCACGAACTAACTAACATGCACGACAAGAGTAAAAAACATTGGCTTTTTTTTTTTTTTTTCAACTCCAGTATTTCGTCCTCAACTTTTAACCTTTAACTTTCATACATAAAAGTGTAGGTTTATGTTCAGTGTAGGGTCATGTATTTTCCACCAGTCACTCAGGAAGGCTCAAGGGAAAATATTTGTAGCTTCATGGAGGGTCAAAATGAATAAATAAATGAATAAATAAATAAAACAAAGCCACATCCAGCCACTCAACTCCTCTGATAAATAAAGAACAGTCCCTTACAAATCTTACTCAAGTAAAAGTATCTTAAAGTAACAAGAGTAAAAGTCTCAATATGCAGAGTGGCCCATTTCAGAATAATTTATTACTTTATATACTGCTGCAACCTAATCTGTGATAATTTAGGATATTTTATTCGCTGTTAATATTTTGTAATAATAATATCAGTCTGTAAAGTCAATAAAAATAAGTGTAATATAGTAAGAAGTGCAATATTTCCCTCTGAAATGTAGTTGAGTAGAAGTATAAAGTAACATAAAATAGAGATACTCACGTTAAGTGCCTCAAAATATGACTTAAGTACTTTCCACGACTATATTATGAGTCGTATGGACATTTCATTGGTTTAGTTTAGTGCCTTATAGTAAGTTTATAACTCATCACATTTTATTATAATAATATAATGATGTCCGTAGACACACACTGCCTGTTAGTATCACTGTAACATTTATCAAAGGACTGCGCTCCTCCACCGATGATGATGATGATGATGATGATGATAACACGTCTTTGATTTGCGCCATAATTTAATTAAAACTCTTTGATTCCGTAATAACTCACTCAGGAGACACAATGCGGGGCAATTAAGCTCTTCCCCTCCCCTCCCCTTCCTCCGTGTGACTCGTTTCCTTGGTAGTAGAAACCAGAAGTACATAAGAGCCTCAAGTGCATCAGCTGAGGAGCGCAGTCACAACCAGAGGAACCCGCTGCGTAAAGACGGAGGAGGAAGACGAACGAGCAGAAGGATTACTACTGACTCTAATAGAGAGAAAGAGCAAGGAAAAGTCCAGCTGGTGAAAGGAGGTGATAACATAGAAAATTTGACATTATTTGGGGTCAAGTTGGACACACAGGAGGACACACAGGAGGACACACACGGAGCTGAAACGCGTCTGGAGAAGGTGAGTGTGCCCAAAACAGATGCAAGGCTTTTACTGATAATTCATGCGCACGGATACAAGAGTTTACAGCTCCGTCTGTTTATCATTTATTAACCTGTAATGTCCACGTGTGCCTTGCTGTCTCTTAGATGCACCCTAATGTGACTGGAGGAGGTTTTTCACATTTTACTTATAATTATAATGTCAAAAAGATGCCAAATAGCCCCTTTTTTTTATCACAACAGCCAGATGGTTCCTCCTCTAAGTCATCTCTCAGATAACATTCAGCCTCCTCATGATCATCTCCTAAAAACAAAGGACCTGATTCATTTCACTACACACTTGAGCTGAGAGGGTTTCCCTGATCCAGGATGTAACCTTGAGTAACTCATGAAGGGTTACTTATCAGCAGCTTTTTGGACCTTGCACTCTCTTTTCTTTAACAGTGTGTGTTGCACACGTTTAATCACATGCAGAAAGACTCAATCTACTGTCCTTTTCCTTCGCAGTCTCTCCTTGGTGAACCCACGTGCTGCTGATCTGCTGCTGCTGCCTCAAGGTACCTTCTCCTCACAAGCTGTCATAATTGTCTTTAAACCTTGTTCTTAATTTCTGGTTGAATCTACAGTAAATGTCTCACGCTGTATTACTTGTTTAGCTTCTTCTGCTTATTATCTCGGGATCAATTTTTACACCGGCACACCTCATTGTTCTTCTAAGTCAATGTTCCTGGTTGTTTGATCGGTCTCCGTCTGGATCTGCTCATCAAGAAGTACATTTTTGATGATTTGAAGCCACTTTTCACCTGAAAAGTAAAAGTTTTTATAAGGAAGGAAAACGTAATAGTTTTGGATGTCACCTTGAAACAACGGCTCCATCTAAACTTTTACTTTTCCACCAAATGTAGGGGTGCTTAAGCGCCTCTTACCCTTAAACAACCCAGAAATTTGTCTTTAAAGTTTTGATGTATCACTGCAAACCAGAAGTGTGGACTCAAGTCACATGATTTGGACTTGGGTCCACAAATTTGATGACTTTATACTTGACAAAATCAAACTTGCAACTTGACTTGGACTCAAACATCTTGTGACTTCACCTTGACTTGAGCCTTTTGACTTTAAAACACTTAATACCCCCAACTCCAAAGATTACAGTAGGTTATTTAAAAAACCACAAATCAATAAATCCCTTCATTTCCTGAATCAACAAACGTTAACGCCATTCATTCCCAACCACTCAACACTTAATTCCCCAGATCCATTTGTTTGAACCAATCCAACAGCATCTAATCAAGTTGCAGGAGACAACCGTGAACAACTAATGATAGTAACTGAGCACCATGTGGAGAGAATTATACCAAAGGTCATTTTGTCGTGTACAAAAAATACAGGTGGTCAACAAAAACCTAACTGCAGTACGTAGCCTAAAATGTGCAGGTTGAAAATTACAGATGGAGACACAAAAACTTCCAACATCATTTGGCAGTTGAAGTTGCACAAAGAACAGTTAGTCGAGGCTAATGTTAACATAGTTAGTGAGCTAATGCTTAGCTAACATTAGCTTAACAGCTAGGTGACTTTTTAAAAATAAAGCTGTTTGAACAACTTCAATTTTAAAAAGCATTTATGACACTTATAAATGTAATATATTACTTGTTAAAAATGGCATTACATTTGACGAAAAGTGCATTATAAATTCTTCAGGATTCGAAACTAGAAGTTGACTTGGGACCCGCCAGTTTTGACTTAGGACCTGAGTGCTAATGTTAACATAGTTAGTGAGCTAACGCTTAGCTAACGTTACAGCGTTGATGTTAACAGTAACTTTTTTGGCATAGTTGTTTTAATAACTCACTTGTTAAAAAGGGTTCAGAATTTATGTAAATTTAATATATTATTACTCTGTTGTTAAAATGTCAATAAATTTGGTGGAGAGCAAACTATGACTTGTTTAGGATTTGACATTTGAAGTTCCCGACTTGGGACTTGCCTGTTTTGATCACGGACCTGAGTGCAAACACTTGAGACTTATTTGTGATTTGTAAAACAATGACTTGGTCCAACCCCTAGCACAAAGTACAATCAGTTGAGGCTAATGTTAACACAGTTAGCAAGCTAATGCTCAGCTAATGTTAGCTTACGTTAGCTTAACAGCTAAGTGGCTTTCTTGGCAAAGTTGTTTTACCAACTCAAATTGAAAAGGTGTTCAGGATTTTTGTAAATTTAATATATTATTACTCTATTGTTAAAATGGCATTAAATTTGGTTTTAAAAAAAGCGCATTATGACTTGTTTAGGATTCAAAACTCAAAGTTCAGGACTTGGGACCTGCCTGTTTTGACTTAGGACCTGAGTGCAAACACTTTAACCTTACTTATGACCTATAAAACAATTACTTGGTCCCACCTCTGGCACAATGTACAGTCAGTTGAGGCTAATGTTAACATAGTTAGCAAGCTAATGTTAGCTAACATTAACAGCTAAGTGACTTTCTTGGCAAAGTTGTTTTAACAAATTAAATTTTAAAAGCATTCATGGTTTTTGTAAATTTAATATATTGTTCTTATATCTGTTCTTAAAATGGCATCACATTTGGTAAAGTGCGTATTATGACTTGCTTAGGACTCTAAACTCATAGTTTACGACTTGGGACATGACTTGGGACTTTGTCAGTCTCGACTTCGGACTTACCGGTTTTGGCTTGGGACAGCGCAAAGACGAATGACTGGCATAACAATGACTTAGTCCCAAAAAACGGTCAGTCGAGGCTAATGTTAACATAGTTAGCAAGCTAATGCTTAGCTAACATTAGCTTACAACGTCAATTAAGGTCAGTCAGTTAATTTCCAAGTTTGTGTGCACTTAGATTGTTGAGCCTATTAACACAGAATGACACTGACCCTTTGAAGCCAGTCATGCAGAGAGGTGAATGAACATGCCGTCCAACATGTGTCTGACTCATCATCAAACTCCATACATGCCTAGGATGATGAACTTTGGAAAACATGTGACCAGCCACTGTGCTGACACTCTCAATCTCTGCATGTGTGTGTTGGTGAATGGGTGGGCAGCTATGAGTCAAAATCTCTCTCAGTCGGTAATTCTTCCCCAGCTAGTGGTTACTAATGACGAGCTGGTGTTTTCAGGCATGCTGCATGTTTGCTCCTCTCCCTCGTCTCTCTGTCAATACACTCAACCTTAAAAGGCCATTTGTTTTGCGGCCTAATGGCTCTCCAATACACAGCGCGGCTCTAATGTCCAGGCTTGTATGGTATTATGTGATTTCTTGCATGTTTGTTCTCACATTAGCGCCCTTGGCATGTAAATATGTTTTTGTTTGACTAGATTCGGACAGGATTGAAACAACACAAGTATTTGCTGTATGTATGCTATGACAAATGAGTCTCCATGGTAACCGCATCACTGATACGACCTGTGTTTCCTCCGCAGATGGCAGGTGATCACAGATAACTGGGGGAAAAGTTAAAGTCACACATCAAGGCGAAAAACTCTCAATTTGTGACTGACATCTTGCTCAGAAACATTCCTAATTAACAAACAAAGCACCAAAAACACGAACAATGGCGTCCTACAGCCCCACCCCAACACAAGAGGCAAACAATGGCGGCCCCCCATCTGTAAAGTCCGAAGGCTCGGGGGAGTCCATGAAGCTAAAAAAGGAGATCTCCCTCTTGAACGGGGTCTGCCTGATCGTGGGGAACATGATCGGCTCGGGGATCTTCGTCTCACCCAAGGGCGTCCTCATCCACAGCGCCTCCTACGGCCTCTCACTGGTAGTATGGACCATAGGGGGGATCTTCTCTGTGTTTGGGGCCCTCTGCTACGCCGAGCTGGGGACCACCATCACCAAGTCAGGGGCCTCCTACGCATACATCCTGGAGGCCTTCGGGGGTTTCCTCGCCTTCATCCGCCTGTGGACGTCGCTGCTGATCATAGAGCCGACCAGCCAGGCCGTCATAGCCATCACGTTCTCCAACTACATGGTGCAGCCCATCTTCCCCACCTGTATAGCTCCATACTTGGCCAACAGGCTGCTGGCAGCGGCTTGTATATGTAAGTACACATCTGAAGTGTGTGTAAATGTGTGTGTGTGTGTGACATCAAGAGAACAAGAGAAATGTGAGTCAGTGTTCGTGTGATCTGAAGAGACACTGATGAGGTCGGCCACAGCTGGTCTCCTATCCTAAGAGGAGCATGTGAGCTTAATAGACTAGAGAAGTGAAATATGGTGACACCACTGCTGCAGTCAGCAGGTCTGCGGCAGAAAGTATCACTGACAATACACGAAAGGGGAACTGGGCGACTCCTAAAACCTCAGCACTAGTTAGGAAGAGTGAGGGGAAAAGACATTTTACTCAATCTAAGGTTTAGAAATCCTGGTGTGATGCCTCACACGTGAGGACTTGAGTCACTTTGAGACTTTTTCTGTTGCTATGGGAACAGACAGAAATTGTTCAGAAATGTAGAGCTAAAGTGCTGCTCCCAGGACCCGCCTGGTCGTGCCAACATTACTGTCTTTAGGAGGCTGTGGTGCGCTCATTTTTTAAGCTAGCATGAAGGTAGTGGTATCTTGTGAAACGAGACAACCTAAGGCATCCAATGGTTTCAACTGTGTTTGAATAGCTTGTCAGAATGGGCTAAATAACACTCCAAATTTAGGCTAATTTTTGGCTAAGGTAACAACTGACATGGCCATTTTCAAAGTGGTTTCTTGAACTCTCACCTCATGATGTCCATATGAAAATGGGTCCTACTGATACCCACAAGTCTCCATTAAACTTAAGAAGGCTTGTTCCCAGTTAATTTTTTGTTTCTTACAATCAATGTACCCCTTCAAATTAAAACAGTGTATTTGTCTTTTTAAAGAAAAGGACAACCAATCTATTTGAAGAACGATAAATCGCCTAACACATGTATACAGAGTCCTGCACGGGTCCATTTTTGAAAAACTGCACCTGCCCATACCCGAACCGAACCATTAACCGTCATTTTGTCTAAGTCAAAGGCCCCCCCCATTTTAGCACGCTCCTTCCACCACCATGAAACCTCGAAACGGTCTTCCTTGGGTGTCTAAGGACGCATTCACACTGGCACTATTTGGTCCGCTTTAAACAAACCCTGGTCCCCTTCCATGGATAGTTTGGTTCGTTTGGAGTGGTGTGAACACTCATTCAAACTCCGGTGTGGACCAAACGAGCGAACCCTGGTCCGCTTGAAAACTGGGGGTCTCGGTTCACTTGCAAGTGAACCCTGGTGCGGTTCGCTTACAGTGGGAAATGCAACTATCCAGTAAACCAAAGAGAGGAAGTGATGTAGAGCGCATTGCATTTTGGTGTTTGGTGTTTTTGTGGTGATCAAGCCGGCTGAAGAGGATGGATTTCTGTTATCGGTCATGGCCAATCGATGAGCAGGGTTTACTTCTTCCACATGCTTTTTTTCTTCCTGGTGTCAGTGTGTAATTCCTTAACTCTCCATTTGACATTTTTCAACTAGCCTATATATTTCAACAGCATGACTGAATTCCTGATATTCAGTCAGGACTCCTGGTTTTGGTCTGACACCCCATGACCTTCAGTGTCCCCATCTGGCCACCCCTACGAAACATTTCTGGGGGCACCACTGTGTAGGTGGACGTGGCCCAGATTGCCGAGGTAACTTAAACACAATGGCACAGAGAAAGAGCAAAGCTGACAAACTGAATTAATCAAACTAAACAAGAAATTCACAAAACTGCTCACTGAGGCAACCGAGCACAACTGAAGAGGTGAAGAAATACCAGCTCTCAGGCAACCTGACACTGAGACAAGAAGCCAAGACAGACAGAGCGCTTGTTAAGGTCGTATCTTACAGACAAGCCCTGATATTTAAGATAAAAAAATACACGTTGTGCTAGTTTGCAATAAATATTACCCATTCATCCACCCACACATGCATGTATGAACACACACTTAAATACATGCACACACACGCACACACACACACACACACACACACACACTTGTGCCATGCACCGATAAGCAGTGCTCAGAGGAGGAGAGGCTGATAGCTGCGAGGTAAAGTCCTGCAGTGAGACTCTGACCTGAGAGGCTAATAGGCTACTGACAGCTCAGCACAGGAGTGAAGCGAAAAACCAAACTTCCTGTCAGTGAAGGGCTTTTACACTGTGGGAGAGTGAGACAGGGAACTGTGCCTCTGTTCCCCAATTTTATCCTATTTTTATTGCTTTTACTCATGCTGTCACTGTCAAACGTTTAATTTTAATCTTATTTTTCTTAGCTCTCAGCAGAACTTCTTATGAAAAAGTATGTAAGCTTCAATCAACATTGATCCAGTTTCTATGGAAGCCTGTTTATGCCGGAAAGATATATATATGCATGTACTCAAATTACAGTCTCATAATGCTGATTTTAGTCAAATTGTTTTACTTGTCATCATTCTGACTTACTGTCTTCTTATTTTGACTTGCTTTATTTTATATGGTAAGTTGACAAATTATTTGTAGGGCAACTTCAGTATATTCCAACCTGGACCCTATTTTTCAATGTTTTTGTGTCTAAGTGACTGATGGGAACAGCATTTTTTTTTAAATTACTGTGATACTGAGTGAGAGGGCTGCAATGTAACCACTTGGGGCAATATGCACCTTCAATACACGTCTACTGAAAGTGCTTGTTTTTGCCACTGACAGGCTCGGATTGTTATTGTAAGTGTGTGACATCATTATGGAAAGGATCCCTACAGAGATAGACCTTTTTGTTTAAGATAAAGATCCTTTTTGTTTGACCAGAAACAGCTACGAAATTGCCATTGCTAAACCTCACCAGAGTCCATTGAAATAAACGGTAATTTTAGTGTGTATACAGCCAGCATGTTTTCACATCTAACTGGGTGAATTAAGGGTTTATTTCAACCAAACCAGAGTTTGTGATTCTTGGGACAACTTTTGTGTGTTACTTTGTTGACTTTGAATGAAGTATGTTTTATGATGATAATATCACTGATTATTTAAATGGAGTCTGGTGGGATTGACGATCGCGAATTCCGGTCTGTCTCTGTAGGGATCCTTTCCATAATGTTGTCACACACTTATAATAAAAATCAGAGCCTGTCAGTGGCAAAAACAAGCACTATAAGTGGATGTAAATTGAAGGTGCAAACATGGCTCAGAGATAGACCTTTTTGTTTGACGAGAAACAACCCTGATATTGCTATCGCCAATTCCACCAGACTCCATTTGAAATGACAGCAATTTAATTCATGTGAAACACTTCATTCAAAGTTGACAGAAACAGGCTAAAACTCACAAAAACTGTCTTGGTTCACCCTTCCACTGTTCCAGCAATCACCAACTCTGGTTTGATTTAAATAAACCCTTAATTCACACTGCTAGATCTAAAAAAATATGCTGGCTCTAAACACGCTAAAATTACTGCTTTTTTGAATGGAGTCTGGTTGAATTGGCGATAGCAATTTTGGGGCTGTTTCTGGTGAAACAAAAGGATCTTACTCTATAACAAAAAGGTCTATCTCTGTAGGGATCCTTTCCATAATATTGTTAGACACTTACGATAACAATCTGAGCCTGTCAGTGGCAAAAACACTTTAAGTGGACATAAATTGACGGCATGAGCATGTCGTGAGTGGCTATTTTGTGGCTGGCAGCAGCAGCCCTCTTACTCAGTACTGGACCAGTTTCAAAAACTGTTGTTTCCATCAGGGTCCACGTTGAAAAATACCAAACGTACCCTTTAATATCGCATTCTTTCTTTTTCTTCCAATAGTAGGTAAAAATATTGACTGATTTTAATGTTTCTTGACTCATTTTTATCAGTCAAAACTTTTCATACACCTTTTTTATTTCCCTGGAGAAAATGGGCTTTAACAAATCTCAGACATGACCCTACTGCTCACCATTTGATCATGATGCGTTCAGTTATTTCAGATCTATCAGAAAAGCAGGTTTTTGAAAAAATATCTACGGCAGTAAGAAAACATCCCCTCATTCACTCACACAATATCCTGTAACCTGAATGTTTTTTGCCCTCCATCATCCGCAGTGCTGGATGTCAGAGCATTCCACCTGCAAGGGAGTTCACAGTTAGTGAGCAGCTGAATGAGTTTTTAAATATCTCCATTTCACTTCACATCTGGACCGTATTTGACCTCCACTACCAGTCAGCCGGCCTCCTAAACCCGATCTCACACCTCCCACCCGTCTAACCTTTCACTGTCAACACACCACGCCTCTACTTCTGTGTGGCAAAGTCTCCCTCTGCATCGCTAATCGCTGGTCGCCTCTGTCTGGAGCTGTGCGTTGTGTTGTGTTTGACCGGGCCTCCTGCTGCGGCCCGACTTGTTATGATCCTGTACCCGTAAGTGGGGTAGAAGATGATAGTGTTATGATTCATCCCTTCACTGGGGATCAAGGTGGTCAACGTGGAGGTGAGGGCGGTGATGTAATCCAGTTTTGGTGTCCTCTTTAAACGTCTGGGTGATGTGGAGGTCAGCGTGGAGCGATAAGTGACCAGGAGCGCTTTGACACTGTAGATTAAATACGTCCACTCAGCTGGTTTGGAGGTGAGTTTGTTTAATCAGCGCTTACGAGGAGGAAGATTTACATAAGAAATGCTTTTTATCTTGGGGAGGTTTTCACTCAAAGTGAGCAGACATCCTGTGCCTGATGTGCCACGTTTATGAGCGTGAAGGGATTATGAGCTGATAAGAGTCCAGAGAGAGATAAGTCACAGAGCGAAGCATGAAAACATGTTTCCCAAGAACATCACTGCAAGTAGAGGAAGGCAATAAGGAAAAAAGTAGCAGCTGAGACCGCTTGTCCTATCAGTCATTAAAAGCTGCAGGTCACAAATCACCAGAAACATCAGTGGCGGTTTCACAACACTCAGCTTGTAAAAATTCGTCTGACTTCCACAACTGTACCTGTGTGCACTGTGTGTGTGAGTGTGTGTGTGTGAGGGTGTATGTGCTGCACTCAGCTGTTTCCTCGTCTGAAAAACAACAGGCCAGTCTGCTTGAGTCAGCAGCAGCGTTTCCTTAAATCACTCGCGGAAACATGCTGGCACACATTCCGTTTACAGAGTAAATGTCACCCACTGAGATTGTTAAAGCATTTGATTCTGTGAGTGTGTGTGTGTGTGTGTGTGTGTGTGTGTGTAAGTAAAATATCCATATTTATGCATGTGTCAGGTTTGCTGACCTTTGTGAACTGCGCCTATGTGAAGTGGGGCACCAGGGTCCAGGACTTCTTCACGTACGCCAAGGTCATCGCTCTCATCGCTGTCATCATCACCGGCCTGGTGAAGATCGGACAAGGTCAGTCACTCTAAAACTATCAGAACACCAGATGCTTTTACACATGACGTGTGCGGTTTGAATGATGAATTCATGGTGAGGATAACGGCTTGAAATGAAACAGCTGTGTTGGTGTCTTCCAGGTCACACACAGAACTTCGAGGGCCTGTTTGAGGGCTCGTCTCAGGACCCAGGAGGCATCGCTCTGGCTCTGTACTCGGCTCTGTTCTCCTACTCGGGATGGGACACCCTCAACTTTGTCACAGAGGAGATCAAGAACCCAGAGAGGTGAGGACAGAGGGACAATTATGAGTGTTCAGGAATGTTTAACCAGCACACAATACACACGAAAACATCTAAACCTTTAGTTTGGATCGAATTATCTTCACTGGAACCTGGTTTAGACTCACTCCGTATTCAGAAACTGTGCCTTTAAACGAGCCGTCAAGACTTCCATGAGGTTGTGATGTCACAACTACACACCTAGAGAGTCTTTCTATCTTGTACAGTGCATCTACTCATGGACGAGAGGCTCGTGACAGATCCACGGCTGAGCTGTAATGTTAGCTTGCTCAGCGGTGCTAGGTGAGCTAGCAGTAGATGCACTCTTCCTTCTGCGTGGTGACACAGTTAGCAAGTGTAGCTCATTAGAAAGAAAATAGTCCCTACATGAAACTGTTCACAACAAGGTCTGTGGATTATCTTGAGTAACCAGGTCGTGATTCGTTCAACACTTGTGTCACTGACTTTTTGAGTATGTGTGTGTCTGAGCCTTTCGGCGTGATTCACACGGCCAAAACTGATCAAATGAACTGAGGCTACACACGTGATTGGATCACAAGCTTCCCCCCCAGAGTTCTCAGGCAGATTAAGTGACAAACACCCCCAGTTCATCACAACCCCCATCCTCCCCTCACCCACAGGGTCGATGTGCTCTTGACCCCGGGACTCCTGAGGATGCCTGAATCTTACACACTTGATGTCTAAGCCTCTGTGTATCTCAACTCCTCTGCTTCCCTCTGCTGTTTAATTGTGTGAACTACAGGAATCTGCCGCTGGCCATCGCTATATCCATGCCCATAGTCACTGTGATCTACATCCTGACCAACGTGGCGTACTACACCATCCTCCCTATGAATGCAATCTTAGACAGCGATGCTGTAGCTGTGGTAAGTGCAAACAGTCCCTCATAACATCACTTTACTTTGGGTTTCCATCAGTCAAGTGCAGCTTTACACCATTAAATCTTCTCTTTCCAGACGTTTGCAGACCAAGTGTTTGGTGTCATGAACTGGACTATTCCTCTCGCTGTGGCTCTTTCCTGCTTCGGAGGGCTCAACGCCTCCATCCTGGCTTCCTCCAGGTGAGTGACTACATTTTTCTGCCATCACCTCATCTGTGTTTTCAGCTCTCACTCATTGTGTCCATCAACATCACTCATCACTGTTCTGCTGGATATTTCTGTCTCTCTAAAGGCTGTTCTTCGTGGGCTCCAGAGAGGGCCACCTGCCCGACTACCTGTGCATGATCCACGTCTTCCGCTACACTCCTGTCCCTGCCCTGCTCTTCAACGTCAGTCCGCCCTCACCATCTTTTATTTCCTTTTGTTAAATGGTTTAATTTATACGGAAGCGTAATGTATTCGCTTCAGAGGGAATGGTTGCCCAATTTTCTGAATTAACAAAATTATTATTTCAGAATTTTGAGAAATAATTTATAAAATATCTCAAACCATTTTCACGGAAAAAATGATGCTAGGTTTTCAAAATTAATGAAATAATATTGTTAATTCAGAAAAACAAGAATTTACGAGATTATTATCTCTAAATTCCAAGACAAAAAAAAACCTTTTTTTAATGAAAACTTCTCAGAATTCGAAGATCATCTTGTTGATAAACAAGAATAGGGCAAATACTTTTTCTGTAAAAAATTTTGGCCTGTTTTTCTGAATTGACCAGATTTTCTCGTAAATCGAGATTAGTATGTCCTAAATTCAGAAAAAAGTGCAATTGTTTTTTCCAAAAAAACTTTTTTTGTATTTAATGAGATAATGAATTAAAAAAAACAAGAGCAGATTTTTTTCCCCATGAAAACTTTTCTCACAATTCTGAGATGATAATCTTGATTAATCAGAATAACAAGACAAATATTTTTTTCAGAAATTTTTTTCTATTCATTTTTCTGAATAAACAACATTATCTCATAAATCAAGATTATTATTTCCTCAGTTGAGAGATGCTCATTTTTCTGAATTAATTGAGTTAATAATCTTATTCATCTAGGAAAAAGGGCATATTTTTTGTCTGAAAAAGTTCTGCTCATTTTTCTGAATTAATAAGATTATTATCTTGTTAATTTCACCACGAAAACTTCTCTCAGAATTCCGAATAATAATCTCATTTATTAAAAAAATTGGGCAATTTTTTTTTTCTGAAAAATGTTATGCTCGTTTTTCTGAATTAAGGAGTTAATAATCTTGTTAATTCAGAAAAAAAGTTCTGCTTGTTTTTCTGAAATAATAAGGTTATTTTCTCATTAATTTCACCATGAAAACTGTTCTCAGAATTCTGAATAATAATCTAATTTATTAAAAAAATTAGGGCAAATTTTTTTTTCTGAAAAATGTTATGCTCGTTTTTCTGAATTAAGGAGTTAATAATCTTGTTAATTCAGAAACAAAGTTCTGCTTGTTTTTCTGAATTAATAAGATTATTATCTTGTTAATTTCGACATGAAAAATTTCTAAAAATTCTGAATAATAATCTCATTTATTTAAAAAAATAGGGCAATTTTTTTTTCCCTGAAAAAAAAGTTCTGCTCATTTTTCTGAATTAATAAGATTATTATCTTGTTAATTTCATCAAGAAGACTGTTCTCAGAATTCAGAATAATAATCTAATTTATTAAAAAAATTTGAGCAAATTTTTTTTTCTGAAAAATTTTATGCTTGTTTTTCTGAACTAACAAGCTAATAATCTTGTTAACTGAAAATATAGGGCACTTTTTTTTCTGAAAAATGTGATGCTTCTTTTACTGAATTAACAAATCAATAATCTTGTTAATTCAGGAAATAGGGCAGTTTTTTTTTTTTTAGAAAAAATTCTGCTCTTTTTTCTGAATTATTAAGATTATTATCTTGTTTATTTCATCATCAAAATTTCTCTCAGAATTCTAAATATTAATCTCATTAATTAAAAAAAGAGCAGAATTCTTTTATATTAAAACTTTTTTCATAATTCTAAAATAATAACCTTGTTTTTTCAGAAAAACAGAGCAGATAAAGCAGATTTTTTCCTCAGTTGAAAGCATTATATTTCCATAAATTTGGCTGTCACAGATTTTTTATTTTTTTTATTTTCACTGTTGCATCTTTAAGAAAACCCTCCTTACATTTCACAGTCTGACTCTCAGTGCTTGGTGTATGTCTCTGCAGGGCATCATGGCTCTGATATACCTGTGTGTCGAAGACGTCTTCAGACTGATCAACTACTACAGCTTCAGCTACTGGTTCTTTGTTGGTTTGTCCATTCTGGGGCAACTGTATCTGCGCTGGAAGCAGCCAGACAGAAAGAGACCACTCAAGGTAAGAAGCACAACCAGTGATATCGTCTTTTTAAAGTGTTCCTTCTCACATATTCCAGCATCATCTCATCTGCTCTTGTCTCTCTTCTTCCCTCAGCTCAGTCTCTTCTACCCCATCGTCTTCTGTCTCCTCACCATCTTCCTGGTAGTGGTGCCGCTCTACAGTGACACCGTCAACTCGCTGATCGGTATCGGCATCGCCCTGTCAGGAGTGCCCGTTTACTTCCTCTGCTGCTACACTCCGGCCAATAAGAGGCCACTGTGGTTACGGAGCGCCATTGGTAAGAGAGCCGCACTCTGACATTGCTTTCATACATTAAAACTATCTTAAATAATGATTTTTAAAGCAGGTGTCTCGAACTCAAACGACCTTAAACATTATAAATGAATTGGATACTGGAACAAGAGCTACTCACTCCTCTTTCTGATCTCCTCCATGCTGTCTTTGTTCGCTTTTGTCCTTCCCACAGCTCACAGGTGTGTCTCATTTGTCTCCTCACTTTCCCCACCTTCCTCCTCTTGTATCATACACTGCCTGGCCAAAAAAAAAGTCACCACCAAAAAAAAAGGTCATACACTCTAATATTTCGTTGGACCGCCTTTAGCTTTGATTACGGCACGCATTCGCTGTGGCATTGTTTCGATAAGCTTCTGCAATGTCACAAGATTTATTTCCATCCAATGTTGCATTAATTTTTCACCAAGATCTTGCATTGATGATGGTAGAGTCTGACCGCTGCGCAAAGCCTTCTCCAGCACATCCCAAAGATTCTCAATGGGGTTAAGGTCTGGACTCTGTGGTGGCCAATCCATGTGTGAAAATGATGTCTCATGCTCCCTGAACCAGTCTTTCACAGTTTGAGCCCAGTGAATCCTGGCATTGTCATTTTGGAATATGCCCGTGCCATCAGGGAAGAAAAAATCCATTGATGGAATAACCTGGTCATTCAGTATATTCAGGTAGTCAGCTGACCTCATTCTTTGAGCACATACTGTTGCTGAACCTAGACCTGACCAACTGCAGCAACCCCAGATCATAACACTGCCCCCACAGGCTTGTACAGTAGGCACTAGGCATGATGGGTGCATCACTTCATCTGCCTCTCTTCTTACCCTGATGCGCCCATCACTCTGGAACAGGGTAAATCTGGACTCATCAGACCACATGACCTTCTTCCATTGCTCCAGAGTCCAATCTTTATGCTCCCTAGCAAATTGAAGCCTTTTTTTCCGGTTAGCCTCACTGATTAGTGGTTTTCTTAAGGCTACACAGCTCCATTCGCATTGTGCGTGTGGAAATGCTCTTACTTTCACAATTAAACATAGCCCTGAGTTCTACTGTTGTTTTTCTTCGATTTGATCTCACCAAACGTTTAAGTGATTGCTGATCACGATCAGTGAGGATTTTTTTCCGGCCACATTTCTTCCTCGAAGACGATGGGTCCCCACTATCCTTCCAGTTTTTAATAATGCGTTGGACAGTTCTTAACCCAATTTTAGTAGTTTCTGCAATCTCCTTAGATGTTTTCTCTGCTTGATGCATGCCAATGATTTGACCCTTCTCAAACAGACTAACATCTTTTCCACGACCACGGGATGTGTCTTTCGACATGGTTGTTTAGGAAATGAGAAGCAACTCATTGCACCAGTTGGGGTTAAATAACTTGTTGCCAGCTGAAAGATAATCGCCCATGCAGTAATTATCCAATAGGAGGCTCGTACCTATTTGCTTAGTTAAATCCAGGTGGCGACTTTTTTTTTGGCCAGGCAGTGTATTACACGGCAGCTTGCAGGTTTGTCAGGAAGCAGTAGATTAAAAGATGAATTCACCCACAAAATCACCATTTTAAATCAACAATTAATGCCGTGTTATCTTGACCCCATGGAAAACGGCAGAATATTAATTGGGCACCACATTCAGCAACAGTAGAACATCAGTTTACAAGTCTCATTTATTCAGTTGCATGCTCAGTACTCCCCAAACACATACACTTTTGCCGAAATGTTACATAATAAAACTGAACTGGAAGTTTTTTTATGCGAAAATGCACATCTTTGGGAAGCACCGAGATTTGGATTATATTGCATGGGTTGTGTGAGAGTTTTTGAACAGATGTCCCGTCCCCAATCAATCAATAAATCAATATGTTGACTGTTTTCTGTGGAGGCATGACAGAAGAACAAAGTTTTCTATACAAATTCACAGTAACACGACATATTGATGCACAAATGGTCATTTTGTGGGTGAAGTGTTCCTTTAAACTCCACAAAAAAGACAGAAAATCACAGTAAAATAAATGAATAAATAAATTGGAGGCCACATTTGAAATAAAGATTCAGTTTGAGACCTCTGTTTTACAGATACGTTAATATCATTCAGCATTTGCTGCATTTAATAGGATGAAATACACAGAATTGGAGGTCATGTATTTTTTTTTTAGTTTGGTTTAGCTTAATTTTTTTTAGATGTTTGTGGGGTTTTCTTCTTGTTTTTTTTAGTTTCTTTGGTCACTGTTTAACTGATCTTTTATTATGAGCCTTTAAGAAAACAGTAGGGATCTGTATTTATCAATACACAGTGAAAAAACATCGGATTAATCATACTGGAAACAACTAATCACAAGATTTTGCCACAAAACAGCGCCAGGAGCATAGCACCAAATTCTTCCTCTCTTGATCCATGTCTCTCTCACACACCTTTTGATTTTTTTTTTAAGTCAGTTTCCTTTCTCTTTCCTTTTGAGGAACCCTGATTTCCATTCGTTAGGAAAAGATATGACAGTATACGTCGGTGCTTCAGGAGCGTAAGCAGTCACTCATTCGGCTTTAGCTGCGTTCAATCACCATAGAATCATAATTTCATTGTGTTTTTTAATATTATAATGACAATAAAAGGCATTCTGATTCAGAATTAGGGTGTTTTCACATATAGTCCTTTTAAAACAAACTGAACTCAGTCCTCTTAAAGTGCACCAAAGAGTGCACCAACAGAAAAGGGACTTGGTTCTTCTTGCCTTCATATTGTCAGTTCATATGAAAGAGGTTTCTGGTCCACTTCAGCTCTGATGGGGCCTCAGTCCTCTTTCTGTTCATAAAAAATATATTGACATAGTTTCGTTCTTATTTTGACGTGGCACAACATCCTTCGCTTTCAGATGAACTTAAAATTGGAGGAAAACCATAGCGTGTCTGTGCTGTAGACTGTTGCCGTTTGATGCATTCTACATTCCACATCTGGAGATGTGCAATATCCTCCGTGGACCAAACTACTCCACATCCTGTGTCCTTGCAAGCGTTGCAGGCGGACATGGTTTCGTCTGCTTTTTTAAGCGTCCAAGTGCAAGAGCGTGTGATCTAGAGGGCTAAATAGAACGGCAACGAGCACACTTTGTGTTCACAAGGCACAGGTCAAGTGAACCGCACCGCGGACTTGAAGTGATCCGAACTCAGACCACCTTAGGTTCAGCTCGCTTCAGAGGGGTCTGAGGTCACATATGCACAAAAAATGCCGAGTCACCGCTTTGAGTCCTTTTAGAGGGCCGAAAAGGACCAAGTCGACAAATGCTAGTGGAGGGGCGGACGAACCCTTTTTGCGTCTTTAGTTCAGACTTTCAACTGGATTATTGAGCCAATTCTGAAGGCCCTCCTCCCATTGGGGCTCTTGGTACTTAGTCCCACTTTCCTCTAACTTCAACCAAGTATTAGAGCTCCAATTGTGCTCTTGTAAATGGTTGGAGAGACCATTACAGGGTTAACGGGTTTGGTGTCAGTGTTTACAGCTAAATTCAGGCTGATGATAGATGAGTAAGTCGCTCTAACCTTCCTCTTCTCTCTTCCTCTCACAGCTAAATCTGGCGTCTTCATTCAGAAGGTGTGCTTCTCCGTACTGACCGAAATGGATAAGGACGAGTAGACGTTTGGTTTCAACACTCTGCCGGAGTCTGACGACGCACAAATGTAGAACCTGAAGTGATCCCGGCCAACCGCTGCCGCCGCGAGGCCTGGATGGACGAAGCATTTGGGCTTGAGCTGGACCCAGCTCTCCGACCTGTCAACCATCACCCGGTGCTCACGTTAATGAATGTATGAATGATGGCGCCCGGGTGCTCGTTGGCAACACTTCACTCTAGCTGACTTCAGAGGGAACATTTCAATGCACTCCTGAAGAAATCAACACCTCTATTACAGAACATTAGCAGAGAATTATTTAATTATGTAAAGACAAGTATGTTGTGTGCACATACATGTAATACCTTTTTGATTTTACTGGGAGGTGGCAAATTATTATATGGGGAGGGCAGAACATCTTTGAAACTAAAAGCATATTATTATTAATATTTGCACAAAGAAAATCAAACAGTAAAAGAGATTAGAATATGTTCACTAATGTGGGGGAAAGTTTTATACATATATGTCCACCGTGAGGTCTAGTGAAGGGCTATTTTTACACAAATTAACTTTTTGTCTGACTCAAACACGGGCTGTTAATGTAAAAAAGTTTGAGACAGTCGAGTTGCAAACATGTATTTATAATAAAATTACTTGTTGACAACATAAGTTGACTTCTTTCTTTCTGGAGACTAACGTTTCAAAAATCACAACAATATGCACACTTGAGTGGTTGTTTGGAGGCAGATTTTAATTAGAACAATACATGACAACCCTCTCCCACCCTGTTCTCTCTTCCATCCATAAATATGTACATAAATCATTTTACTGTCAGCTCTAAATCTGATCTACCCGATAGTGTCCTTCCACGGCCTCTCTTTGCCATGTGTCGGCTTGGCCTTAGCTGATGCTGCAGCCATGGGTTGGGTCTGCTTGAGGGGATTGTGGGTAAAAGTCTGCCTCAATGGACCTGCGGAGAAGACATATTAACAGTTTCAGTACACACACACAGAATGTCCAAGCCTTGACAGCTAAGAGACAATCATGCTAACGGCTTTTTTGTGCTAAACATACAAAAAAAATCCATAAATCAAATACTGACTTCTTCAAATGTCTTACTTCGTCTAACAGAATAGTAAGTTTACTATCATGGAAGATAAAGAAACTAGGGATGTGCGCTATTAGTCGTCCAAACGATTAAACGTCCGCCAGTAGTTGGTTAAGCCAATTAGTGTTTAATTCACGTACAAGGCTGCTTAACTGTCATGCAGCCGCCCGCCACTAGTGGGTGCTACAGAGCCATCAGACAGCAGCCCCCCTCCCCGCGGTAATGCTCAAGTAGACTGGAGTTTTAAAACAGCACGTGGGAAATAAGAGCGATGTCCTCTCGCAAAACCAGCACGGTTTGGTAATACTTCACGACAATCACGACGATGACCTCGCAAGATATGCGTCCACTTAACTTTGTCGAAGGTAAAGGCTTCAGGAAGTTAATGCAATATGCTGAGCCTGAATACACCGTGCTGAGGCCGGGACTGTTTTCCTTTTGTTTTCCTAGTCGACTAGTCTTTTCGTTTAGTCGACAGGGAAATTAGTCGCCAGGAACATCCCTAAAGCCGAGCTCACCTTACACGATTTTCACCACAATTTTGACGTCACAGAGGATCTTGAGAGCCACCTTGGGAGGTGGTCGGAGGTGAGTCTGCCACGACGAGTCCTCGTGTGTGAACGAGCCTATGAGTAACTCGCCCCCTCGTCTGCGACTGGGACTGAATATCTGGCATGCTAGAAAACTGGAGAAGTCTGACACGACTGACAAAGAGCATCAGCCAGTGAGAGGCGGGATACGTCCCACGTCAGCACGCAGGAGGACGGAAGAGATGTGAGGACAAGTTGCAGGGTTGCCAGGTCCGCTTATTAGCAGCGACTTTGGGCTTATTTTTTGTAAAGTCACTTACAAATATTGGTAGTCGCGGTGGGTCACAGTTTTTTTGGGCTTGTTTCTAAAGTGGAGTTGCTTATTTGGGCTTGCTCTCTAAACGTCGCCTTTCTCTATATATATCTGGCGCTTCTTTTGGGCTTGTTTCCATAGCCCTGGTTGCTTGTTTCTCTCCCAAGATCTGGCAACACTGACAAGCCGGCAAGCAACAACAACAATGGCGGTGTCCACAGGATCACAGGGAGCGCGTTGTGTTTGGACCCAGGCCCTGGAGGCAGATCTGATTCAACACTGGGACAAATATACATGCCTTTACGATGTGTCAACTCCAAGTAAAAAAAAAAAAAAAAGTAGTTTGGTGACGGCACCACGTTATCCTGGGCTCTGTCGGCGAGGGCTCGGTGGAGAAATCACACACAGGTCGTAACGCAGTTGGCGAGACTCCGGATGACAGAAACACACGTCGCCAGGTATGAACACTCAAAAGATTACAATAGCCTTCGTGACGCATTTTGCTGGGTGAAAATTGTGTAATGTGAACTAGCCTTAAAGGAAACAAGAAAATGTTCACATTTGAGAGGCTGAAACCGGTTAACTTTTGCTATTTTGGCTAAAAAAAAAAAAAAAACACTGTTCATTCCAATTTAATTTTATCCATATAGCTCAGGGGTAGGCAACCTGTGGCTCCGGAGCCACATGTGGCTCTTTAGCCCCTGTCCAGTGGCTCCTTTAGCCTTTGAGAAAAGAATTCTATGGAAATTCATTCTATGAATCCAAATGTTGCTGAACCTCAATAGCAGTGGCTGGTTAGCTATGGATGCCAAATCCAAAAAAGTAAATTGAATAAAATAGAGAATGTAGTAGTGTGTGGACAGATTTGTTTGCTCTCACTGTCAGCTCTGCAAAATTTAAGTACCAAATAATCATAAATAGTGCCCTGCACAGTGTCCACCTTGTGGTAAAACACATTAACAAATGCTTATTTAGACCATAAGTATACGCTAATTTAAACTTAATAGGCTATTTACCTTGATTATAAGGCTCAAACATGTTTTGCGGCTCCACACAGATTTTTTCAAATTATTCTTGGTCAAAAATGGCTCTTTTAATGGCAAAGGTTGCAGACCCCTGATATAGCTCAATAGTACAAATCACCATTTGCATGATTTGAGGGCGTTACAACATATGACACCCTCCAACCTTGTCCCTACCCCTCACGAAGAAACTTCAGGAAGAGCTGCTGTCAAGGAAGCGCCCCCCCGCAACAGATGTCGGGTGTACAGAATGATTAATCTGTCAAATGACTGACTGATTAAATGTGCAATAATCAGTTCTGCTCTAAAGACTTATTTTGGAAAGTCTTCCAGGTTTCAGCCTTGATAAGCTTTCATTCAAGGCTCCAAACACTCATATCCATCCATCCATTTTCATCCGCTTATCCAGGGCCAGGTCACGGGGGCAGCAACCTGAGCAAAGCACCCCAGACGTCCCTCTCCCCAGCAACGCTTTCCAGCCGATCAGATGCCCGAACCACCTCAACTGACCCCTTTGACGCGAAGGCGCAGCGGCTCTACTCCAAACTCCCTCCGGATGTCTGATCTCCTTACCCTTTCTCTAAACCTTAGAACTTTTATTACAGTTTTAAGGCCTTGTGGACTCAACAGCAGCACATCTGTAAGCAGATTCCAAAATGTGTATCTGCTTCCTGAGCTGCAGTCCGCCTCCATTTAATCACACCTTAACCTGCCCTAAATACAGAGCAACTTTATGTATGTTATTTTCACATTCAGGTAATGGTTTGTGATTAGCTGGCTTTCAGTCCTGTGTTAAGAATTTAACATTAAAGGCAAGACAGCACTCATAATCCCCATTAATACCTTAGTTTTACAATCAGCATTTCATTCCCCCCCCCCCCCAGTCTTATTATTGCAATAACTGGCTCTGGACACAAGGGGGAGCACCTCTGCCATGTCTACATCAAGACATCATGAAGTCTACTGAACATATTGTATTGTACAGGGTGTCTACAGGTATCGAACACTTAAATTTGATGCTTTTAAAAAAGACTTTAATGGCATGCAAAGTCTAATATTTATGAAATTGAATTTAAGACATGTTAGGATTCTTTACGGACATGAAGACACCTTGATGGAAAAGAAAACTAGTCATGGAGTTGTTGTGCACTTTTAAATACATGCAAGGATTGTATTATTATTGAGATGATTATTATAGCCAATCATAACATGTCCATAATTCCACCTGTCCATCTTCCACTTCTCCTTTCGAAACAACTCAAACCAGCCGTTTCTCAGTGCTTGAAATAAATTAAGGAGTAAAAAGTCAGTCTATATGAAGCTAATGAGGTCATGATGAGACTGACCTTTAGCAGCGAGGTCAAGGTGATTTTTGATTCTTCTGTCCCTCTCCTCCAGCTGCTGGGCCAGCTGAGCGTTTTTCCAGCCTGGAGGAAAAATAAAGACACAGTTACAACATGTACAAACACCAGAATAATCAGTGTTGCTGTGAGATGTATATTTAGACACGTACCCTTCTTCATGCTTTGGATAAAGCCGTCATTTTGGGGCAGGGCGGAGGCCGGGTGTTTGATCCTCTCTGGGATCCTCAACCTCTCTCTGACCAAGGGGTGTCTGAGCAGGGCCACTTGACCCAAGGAGAAGCAGTTGGAGGTCAGCCAGTAGGTAAACACCGCCTGAGGTTTGAGAAGAAAGATTTAGACTAAATCTGCAGCAGCAGGTTAAAAAGGTGGGTTTTGTTTTTCAACGTGTATCTTATTTTATCAGTTTTATGTGTCTAACTGACTTAAAGGAAAACAAGTGTAAAAAATAGTCCAGTATTGAGAGACAGAGCTGCAGCCAGCAGCTGCGAAACATGGTGCAATGTAAACACACGGGGCATTTGTGCACCTGACGTCCACTAAAAGTGTTTGTTTTTGTCACTGACAGGCTCAAATTGTTATTACAAGTGTCTAGCAACATTATGGAAAGGATCCCTACAGAGATAGACTTTTTTTCTTAAAGAGTAAGATCCTTTCTCTTTAACCAGAAACAGCCCTGAAATCTTCATTGCTAATTCCACCAACCTGCATTTAAATCAACAGTGTGAATAGAGCCAGCATATTTTCTGAACTAAACTGAGCTAAAAAAAAAAAGTAAGGAAATTTGTGTTTGGTAGATTATTTCTTTGTTGAAACAATGCTTCTTGGCAATAAATCTCATACTGTTGGAAAGCCTGTTTATTTCCCTTTTAAATGGTGCCACATTTGTAAGGAACATTTTTTTGTTGCTGTTGCGATTGACTCTTGTTTTGAGCTTCTGATACCTGTCAGCATGGGCCCTGCTACAGTGATCAGTTGGTGTCTGCTCCAAGAATCGGCATGCCAGTTTTGACTGATCTGGATAGGGCCCGTGCGATTGGGCAACTTCAAGCTGGTATTCCCAAGCTGCTGCATTATTTGGAGTGAGCCCTAGTACCATCTGCAAACTGAAGGCCGTCTGCAGTCTGTTCCGCATTGTCTGGACAGAGAGCCGTCGGCCAGATCATCCTGCAAACCTTGACTGCAAATCTGTCGAAGACTGCCTATAGTTCCTAAGTGCTAACAGGTTGAGGAAACGGACTTCTTGGGGTGCCGTCTTCCTGGGACGCCCACTTCGAAGCCTGTCTCTGACATCCCCAGTTATATGGAACTTGGTCTTCAGTTTGCAGATGG